TGGATCTACTCCTACCGAAATCGTTCAATCACCCGGCGACAACGACAGCGAAAAGACGGGCATGAAGCGCAAACGCCACTCGAGCGAGCAGGCCACGGAGGAATTGACCGAACTCAGGGAAGAAGTCAAACGCCTGAAGGAGGAGAATGAGAAGCTGAGGGCTGAGATGAACCAAAACTCCCAACATTCTCTGTCTATGATGGCCCAGATCGCCGAGTTGCAGGACGCTCTGCGTGAAGGTCTCGGACATACCCTGGTAGCTCCCACTGCACAGATGATCTAGGATCCAATCTTGCCTTTGGCAGTCCCCAATTTCAGTGGACCATAAGCAGGAGATCAAGGTCTGATGAGGATCACCACAAGCGGTCTGGACCAGGCAAAGTTCTGGTACCCTCAGGTTTCATTCCTTGACAGCTTCATCTACTTTCACTCAACATATACACACTCCACTCGGCGTTCGGCTTTATGCATGGGGTTCATGTCTCACATCAAGTATGAGTCCTGGCATGACTCTTTACACTTTTACTCTCAAATTTTTGGCACGGCGTTTATTCCAAGGTACTGGAATTGAAAGAAATGATATCCCCCTCCTGTTTGATACACAAATACAATGCACACGCACACTTTACATGATCAATGAAAGAATGGCAGATGGATTAGGGGCTATGAGACGGGACCGTATACCAAGCAGTATACATGAGATATGAACCAAAGGTGTCTGACGGTTGAGCTTTTTTATCTGTAATACCCCCTGTAATACACTAGATGGATGTTATTCGCATCCCTTTTCTTCTCAGATGAGTGCTATTAGAGTTCTCATGTTTCAAAACCAAGCTCTTCGTCCTCTAAACTTTCCCTATGGACTTTTTTCTGTGCTTGTGATGTTATGACTCTTAGTTTCCGGAAACTTCGGTAGAGTGGCAAAGACACCACAAATTGCTTCGTAAGCTCATACCGACGCGTTGCGGCTCAGCATGTCTTCCATTTTGAACCCCGAGTTCATGCACTATGTACCTCTACCCCATCAATGCATCCCTAACCCAAAATATACACAACTCCTGTCTTGCCTTATCTTCTCCTTCTCTTGGGTAGAAGTTTGAAACAGAATCCCAATCATGCAGCTCCGCTCTGCCCTCTTGATATATACATTCGAACCAGTTTTCATGCTGAGAAACCAAATGAGTACGAGGTAAAATTGGAACTTCTTTCAAGGCGACTTCATTGTGCGCCGACAAAACCCGCATCTGCAACCCCTGCTCGTTCTCTAGACGGCCTGCACGTAACTCGCAGGCACACTTCCCGTGACGCCCGCCTTCTCGACCTCGACCCAGCCATCGCCCGGGTCATCCTGCACAAGGACAAATCGTTCACCTTCGGCCATGGAGTGCTCTGACTCAGCCTGTGCCGTGTATTCGTATAGTGCTTCTACGTAGCGGAGCTTCTTTGCGCCGCGTTTGGGCGCTACTGCGGGACCCTTCTTCTTGGTTGATGGTGCTAGGGAGGATGTTGTGGAGGTGGAATAGGTAGATGATGGTCGGGCTGCGGGAGCGGGAGCAGCGGGTATAGTAACGGTGGTGATTTCAACATATGATGATGGTACGAGACCTTCCTTGTAGCCTGCGCGGACCTTGACCCAGCCGGAGCCGTCTATAACACAATTAGATATCGTCACTAAGTATCAGGGGCTCAGACTTACCATCAGGTTCCAACAGTACCACATCTCGACCATCTTGTACTGTAAGTTCACCCTCACCACTAGCTTCGAATGCATACAACATCTTGCCCTTCTTTTCCTCTTTTGCACCACCATTTGTCTCGCCGCCAGACCCTGTGATGTAAGCTGCTGGCGGAGGTGCCATGATTCTGTTCTTGCGCATAGTACCAGATGACTTGGCCGAAGACATGCTTGGCCTTCCTGCGTCTGGTGGTGTTTCCTCCGATGGGCTGAGCTGCCCAGATATGGATCCCGATAGAGATGGGCGTGCCGAGTGAGAGCTTAGAGACGTCATGGTATTGGAACGGGTGAGTTCGGGTCCATCTGAAGCATTAGAATGTACCGAAGTCATCGTGGCACTGGGCTTGAGCAGCTTGTTCGCGGCATCCTGGCGTTCGGCCTTGAGCTTCTTGCGCTCGTCCTTGGTCTGTTCGCCAGGGCAGTCAGGGGGTACCTTCATCTCACACTTGCTATGGCATGTGTAGCCGCAGTCTCGACAATCGAAGCCCTTTGCGCTCAGTCCCCAGATTCTCTCTCCACACAAATCACAATTCGTGGGTATCTTGAATGTTTGACTCTTGAAGTTGTGGTTCTTTGCACCCAACGTCACATCACCCACCACAGATGTGATTGTGGATGTTTCGACTTCGGCCGTCAGTCTTTGACGGTCAATAGAATGCAGATCTTCCTGCATTGAGAAGAGTATGCGAACAACTTCCACCTCGTCCTTCTTCTCTTTTCCTTCCCTTACTCGCTGCTTGAGTTGTTTGAGACTCTCAACCTCTCGTCGCTTCTTATCAACCTCCCTCCGTAATTCTCCTAGTTGCGACTTGGACTTGCCCAAGACATTGCGCAAGAAGACCTTTGCGGTCTCGTCAACTACCATCGTGCCATCATCATGCCAAACAGGACTGGCCTCGAAATGCTTGTCGGGGGGTTCGTTAAAAACTCCCATATTGTGTTGGATGTACATCATGGAGTCAAGATGGGGCAAGTTCCTCAGAATCTCGGTGCCTTGGTGCTGAACCATGCCATTGCTTTGTTGCAGCATGTCTGACTCGAGGTTTGTCGCAACAGTCCAGAGACTGTTCAGCTTGGTCGTTCGAAACTCGCTAAGATCCTGTAGACTATCCATAACCTCGGGGACATATTCGTGGTAATATTTCTCCTTCTGCTTATTGGTAACATTGATCGCAATGATATAGGTGTTCTTGGCGTTGTTCATCTCGAATAGCTGTTGTGTGTAGGCATTCTGAGCCTTGGCCTTGTCATAATGCGACTCGGTCTTCTTACGCTTAGACTCGACCTCTTGGCAGACAGTGTCGTATTTACCCTTTGTCTTGGCGAGTGAGGCATATGAAGCATCGCGCTCCTGCTCGAGCTTGGTAGCATAATCGGAGTGCCGTTTGCGCAATTCTTCAAAACGGCCGCCAAAGAACTTGAGCGGCTCGGCGACCTGAGAAATTAGATTATTGGCGTATCGGTCATGTTCGTTGGCGCGGGATTCGAGCGTCGTAAGCTGGGTTGTCCATGTGGTCAAAGAAGCACTGTAGTGGTCGCACAGTGATCAGCGTGTGCTTTCAAGCCAACTCATGAGAGACTGCGTCCGTACCTTTCGAGCGAGCCGGGCGTCATAGCAGGAGTGTCTCCTACACTGAGCTGAGCTGTCTTTTTGTTCTTCTTGTCAAAGTACTTCTTGGCAAGTGCTGTAAGCTTTGCGCTATATTCCTTCTCGATGGCTGCGCGCTCGCGGTAGAATTGCTGTATATCTTCAAGCCAGGCGATGCCGTGACCGAGCCATGCGTTCGCGGGTTTGAAGCCATCCTAGAACGCTTCCTGTTAGCCATGCGAATGGTGAGGGAGCATATGAAAGGAGCTTCGAATGCAGGCGCAAGACAAAAAGGAGACCACAATGATGCATTATCAACAGCAGGCTATCTTCAGTAAAGTAGGCAACTAACCTTGAGCTCTGAGCCAAAGGTGGGCATCGCGTCCACCTCAGCCATGATGGGCAACGTGTGTATTCAAATCGATCTCAGGAGCGAGGGGTAATCGGTCGGCGCGGATGAGACGGAGACATGTACGAGATCGCAGATTCGAGGCCGCAGGTGTGTCGAGAGAAAATGGCCTGAGTTATGGAAATAAGTTTGGAATTGAAAGTTATTTGTTAAAGTGAGGTTATAATGGACAATGACAGCCAACGATGGCGGGGGAAGATGAGGCGCAGCTTATGAGGATACAGTATAAGGCAACTAAATGGAAGGTAACTTCAACTGAAGAGTAGAACTAGACTAACGAAGAAGGAAGAAGGCGCCGCCGCACCGCGCCGCGTGGGCAGCCGATAGAGCATGCCCGTCCAACCCTGCAGGTATGGAGAGGGTGCAGGTGGTCAGTTTAGGCTCTAGCGTCCCTAATTTACAGCGTCGAGAGCCTAAAACCCCGCCAATGAAGAAATATTGGGGGCGCCCACATCATACGCCCCAGCTAGGAATTGATGGGCGGGAGAGACTTTTGGTGCAGGGCAAGCTCTGGACGAGATCCCTTTCAATTTAGGCTTGGGAAGGCTTTGCCGATTTCCGGTCTGAGCCGCATAAACCTTTGTCAGAGTCGCATTCATGTAGGTACAGACAGATTTGACGTCTTGACTCTCGACATTGTTCTAAAAATGTGTCATGATGGGTATGTCAGGGGTCGAATTGGGCATCACCATGTCCAATTTACATCAATGCAACAGACTACAAACAACATATATCCATGCTAGATATACTAGTGCTCTTGTCTGACAGCTTCGACACCGCAAGATTAATGCCCAGCAGCCAAGAAGTAATCAGACTCAGGGGCTAGTTATGATGACACAGGCGACGGGTCCTCTGCGACAATCTGCTTCAGAATATTTCGCCGATGCATCTCCAAGGGCAACACTGACCTCGAGGACCCAAAACCAAGAAAAGAGAGACGCGTAAAACTGGCTGATAATCCACTTGGCAGTGGACATAGTTCGGCGGGTGGTCGGCTCGGATGGAAGCCGAGTGACCCCCGGGGACAAGGTCCAGCAGTAACAGTAGCAGTAGCAGTAACAGTCGTAGCACGTCATGTAAACTATTCCTAAGAATTCCCCTATGCGAAACTAAGTTGCTACTATCTAAAACCGTTCTCTCAACTCTACTTCTTCATCATCAGTTGCTGTCCTTTCCAGTTATTGTCTGTTCTTCTTCTTATCAGCGATACCCCTGCCAAGACCAAAGCCTCAAATCTCTCTCTCTCTCTCTCACTCACCTAATCAACCATGGCACTCACACTCCAAACAGCCATTGACAAGAGCAATCCGCTCGCAGAGGCCATTATCGTGCCATCGAAGCCCAAGGCTCTCACCATCAGCTACTCCAACCTTGAGGCCGACGTGTCCGCCTTCCAGCGCAAGCTCGCCGATCTCGGCATCACAAAAGCCGCGCCTGTTTCTATCGCGCTCGTCAACTCGTACGAGTTCATCGTCTCCTTCCTCGCTGCTTCGTGGCAGCGCGGTATCGCGGCGCCTCTCAACCCGGCTTATAAGCAGGATGAGTTTGAGTTCTACATCGAAGATGTCAAGAGCGCCATCGTGCTTGTTCCCAAGGGAGCTTGGGCTGCTGGCGCGGCCAGTGTGAAGGCTGCTAAGAAGTTTAACGCTGCTGTTGCTGAGTGTTATTGGGATGCTGCCAAGGGCGAAGTTGCGCTCGATGTCAAGGACTATGGTCTTCTCCAGGGGAAGAAGGGGAAGATTCTCACCGCTGAGCCTGATGATGTTGCTCTCATCCTTCACACCAGGTCAGTTCTCATGATAGCTATGTTAAGCTCATAACTAATAAATTGACAGCGGCACTACTTCGCGACCCAAGGTGGTGAGTAGATTTACTTCTGATTCTCATTGACAGCTCATACTCACATCGACAGGTCCCTCTCACTCACCGCAACCTGACCCGAACCATGAGTATGCTATACTACACCCCATTTCACTTCATTTACTGACCCTGCCATAGACAACATCAAGAACACATACCAACTCACATCCAAGGACCGAACCATGCTGGTCATGCCTCTGTTCCACGTCCACGGCCTTCTCTGCGGTCTCCTCGCTCCTCTCTTCACCGGTGGTTCTATGGTCGTTCCCACCAAGTTCTCCGCCTCCGAGTTCTGGGTCGACTTCAACACCCACAAGGCCAACTGGTACACTGCCGTGCCTACGATCCACCAGATTCTGCTCAAGAATCCTCCTCCCAGCCCCAAGCCCGAGATTCGTTTCATCCGATCATGCTCCAGCCCTCTGTCACCCACCGTCTTCCAGCAACTTGAGGAGACTTACAACGCCCCCGTTCTCGAGGCTTATGCCATGACTGAGGCTGCTCATCAGATGACATCTAACCCTCTCCCTCCCGCCAAGAGAAAGGCTGGAACTGTTGGTATTGGTCAGGGCGTTGAGGTAAGGATTCTCAATGAGCAGGGCGAGGAGGTTCCCCAAGGCTCTGAGGGTGAGATCTGCATCATTGGTGAGAACGTCACCAAGGGATACCTCAACAACCCTTCCGCCAATGCTTCTTCCTACCACAAGAACGGCTTCTTCCGAACAGGCGATCAGGGCAAGAAGGATGAGGACGGATACATCATCATCACCGGCCGTATCAAGGAGCTTATCAACAAGGGCGGTGAGAAGATCAGCCCTATTGAGCTGGACAATGTCTTGACCCGTCACCCTAAGATTGGTGAGGCTGTCAGCTTTGCTATCCCTGACGAGGTATACGGTCAGGATATCGGTGTTGCTGTTGTTCTCAAGAACGGCGAGAAGTTGACTGCCGAGGAGCTCAAGGCTTGGGTCGCTGAGCGATCTGCCAAGTTCAAGGTGCCCAAGAAGGTGAGTTTTCCTTGCAATATGCTTAACATGTAGGGATGGAAGTGCTAACAGTGACTTAGATCTACTTCACCGAGATCATGCCCAAGACGGCAACTGGTAAGATCCAGCGAAGAATTGTTGCCGAGACCATGATGAGCGCTCCCAAGGCGAAGCTGTAAATGTTGTATTTGTTTCGCAGTGGCATTAGATTTCACATTTAGAAGATTACAGGAAGAGGGTTCTAGAAGAAGTTGGATAGAAATTGTTTCCAAAATTGATGAAGCATCGCTACTTTAAATGCGGCTAAAATCTATTTATCCCACGCTGTCTAGGATGTTTATTCCCTGGCCATGATCGTGACCAATGACCTCCGCCGTATCCCCCTCGTTTTATATCCCGTCCCGTAAGATACCGACCAACTCCTCCACATTAATCGCATAATATTCAGCATCTTTTTCCTTAATCGTAGTGTCCATCATGGTCCGCGACCTCGATGATATCATCGTCGTCGTTGATGTACAACCGACTATCATTCCTCTTCAGCCCGGGCTTCTCAGCACCCGGCGCCTGAACCTTTCTGTTGGTCACGGTGTGTCGCTCAACCCAAGCTGCTGTGCCATCGGCTGCCTCCCATCGCAGCGGTGACTTGGTGAGCGAGTCCTTGGCTTCTCCGTCTGCGGGCTTGGCGCTCGCAGGGTCAACGCCAGCTTCTTGTGCTGTGTGGAGTAGAGCAGCGTTGGCGTCTTGAAGATCGAGGAATACAGAGGTGACTGTGGTGTTGGACTCTGTGTCGCGCTGGAGGAGTATGTAGACTGAGGGAGCCATGATGGGTTGGTTCCGCAGTTTGTATGGGGATGGGAGGTAAGTGTGGTTTTCAGTTAGAATGTATGGCATAGGTTATTGTGTGATTTTGTGTGTAATTGTTTAGGTAAGTAGTGATATGTTTGTTCAGTTGTGTGAGTATGGTTGGGAAAAGAAAGAGAGAGGGTGAAGCTGAGATATTATATCACATTTAGATCCCACCTCATATGCACGAGCCTCCACCGACACAATCCAATTGCCAGGTGACCTAACTACCTTTAGCTCTACGGAGTACGGAGTATAGATGTCTAAACTGGACCCCTCCCCCGCCAACAATTGCGCGACTTCTGGCTTGTCATGAGTGGTGTGACTTCTCATAAGGCGAGAGGAGGGCCAAAATTAGCAAGCAAGACATATTACCTATTCAGTTCCTGTCGAGCCGAATTCACTCGCTTCATCTCGAGACCTGAGATCCCCGTGGGGGGCGAATTGCGCAGTACGGAGAACCAACGCCGAAGCCTTCGGAGCTGAAGCGGAGCCAGCCCGGGTTTAACATGTCCGGCCCGTCCGGTAGTCGCCGATCAAAACAAGTTATGATGTAAATTCTGAACCCATGATATGAAAATTTCTGTGTCATAATGTTGAGGACTGAAGGAAAGATACAATTTCTGCTTTTACTGTGGTCTTGATCCCCAGATACTGTGACCCCAGAAATCTATCATGGCACGATATATCCACCATGTCCATCTTACTAGCAAGGATATCGCATAGCATGATGACATACGATACAAGCAGACCTCAACAAACCGAAGAGAGGTCCCATCATAAACCCCAAACCATAAAACGGAAAGTATTACAAGTCAACTCTAGTGGCGTTGAGTTTTCGGAAAGTTTTTCAGTCTCGGGAACAAGACAGAATCAGGTTCGCCGAGTTTCCCGATGGCATCGGACTGCGTTGCTAAAAAACAGGGTCTCGTTGTTAGGTCAGGGTCCAAGCAGGTATTCGCTCGCTTAGCAGAGCTACCCCTGGAAACAAATACATCATCATTTGACCTCATCGATGGGGCACGGCTTCAGCTTTGTCTCCATCCTCCGTATATCGGCCATCTTTTGCTTTTTCATCATGAGTCAATTTGCTCATGAGAACAGAGCCATGGAATATCTATTTCTAATGAGAGGTATCGGAGCAGTCGGACATCTGAAAAGGGCAACGGTTTATATCGACAAAATGAACTGCTATTCTAGCAAATAATAAACTCTACACAAGTATACAAAAATAACCTCCCATTTACACCAACATCGTTGGCTGATGTCTCTAGCCCTGGGTTTCCCTTACAGACAAGTCTATCAACATACCAAACCCTGATCAATATATAGACAATGCGCCCATCACCTATGCCTCTACTAGTCACCTTTGGATCTCGTACTCATCGCCAACTGGAAGAGCAGAGTCGAGTTTCTTGATCTCATGCTTCAAATTTCGAGTCATAACTCCAACCAAGAGGAAGATCGTCGTAATCAGCATTTCTGGTACAACACTTAGACAGACTTGAACTGCTTTCGAGGTCAAGAAACCTGAAGTTGGGTGCGATATCTTGAGCTGGAGGTATGCGATACCATAGGCAAGGCGCAGTCCAAGGAGAGGAAGGTTGATAAAGACTGCATACATGAGCTTGGAAGTGTCAGTATCCACGTCTCGGTATTGGTGATGATAGGTATTCAACTTACTAGCTTCCCGCCGCGAAAGGAAGATACACGGTTGTGCGTGGATAATCTTTGACACTTTCCGAGGGACCACAAAGCCCAAATCGCGAGGAGACCCCATGCTAATGCGGTGAGTGCAGAAGCAACCTTGAGCAATGTCTTGTTGGTGGAAACAGAGTCGCCATTTTGCAACCCGATGACAGATACGATGATGAGGGCCATAGCTGCTGCAACAAGACCATGATACTTGATCTCGAGAATGATGTCAAGTTTTCTGTTCAGTCTAGGGTTTGTTCCACGACGGCTAAATGACTTTTAGTAAAAACAGGGACGTCAAGAAAATAGGAGTACTTACGCCTCGTGCAAGATCCCAGAAGCGGCCAGCAACAAAGGAGAGAGGCCAATACTGTTGAGTATAATCGATCCAGTTGAGCTGTTGGTTTCATGAAGACCAATGCCACCAGTCACAATTCTGAGTACGCAGAATATCTGGACGTAGAGCCATCCTATGAATCCAGTCTTTCCATGCTTGAAGAGGCAGTACAGAGCAGGTTGGAGGAGAATAATGTAAATGGCTAGTTTAGCCGCTGAGATGGAGTCTGTCATTTCGAGAGGATGATCGTTGGTTGTAAGTGAGCTGTGATGTCTGTATCGATCAAAACTACTACCAAGAGAACGAATATTGCTACATTATTATACTATTGCCGCAACTCCATTTCTGGCTGCCTCTTCAACACTGCCTTTCTTCATTATGGAAGCCAATTTCGACGTCGAATCCCAATAAGGAAATGAATTCGACGAGATCGTCTTTCGACCAATCATATGTAGCCTGGAGCAGATGTAAGCGATGATGATAAGTGTAGTGGCGGAGTTGCACTGGTTTCGACGATCTCGACTAACAACTTAATAAGGTTCTCACGTAATTTCATATCTCCTATACCATATCCCCCAAAACATTTATGTAGCAGCATATAGGAGACTACGGGTTTACGGCAAAGGCTCCTCGCGCCATGTTTCCTGCGCCTCGTAGTCTCCCATATTCCACCCAATAAACCCAATACTCCGGCAAAGGCAGCTTCTGTGTCGGAAAACTAGGACTACACCAACTCGTGAGGTTTCTCACAACTAGTGACTTGTACATACAGTAAAGTAGAACATCAAATTTGAGAGCTAGATGACCTAGAACCGTCACCCAGAGGCGAACAGATTGTGGCTGTAAGTGACGATCCTACCCTAAAGCGTAGGATCTTTACTTCGTCTTATTTTCGAGCAGGCCATACCAATATCAAATTAGTTATTTGTTCAGTTGGAATCCTCTTCCGAATCAGTTGCTTTTGAGAGGAGGGCCAATCGAGGCTTGGGAATGGGAATGGCGATGGGAATGACCTTCGTTGCTGCTTCATAGGTAGGTACCGTGGTGTACCACGACACTGTAGAAACAAAGCCGCAGAGAGAGCATTTCCGTAACAATCAGAAACGTTTGTATTCCTCACTTTCCTGCTATGCATATATAGGTGCCCCAGCGGAAACTACGAACCTGACACGCATATACGTTTACAAGTATTTCTGCTTACTATTCTCGTGATGTTTTAAACCTTGGTGTAGATCTCCGAGTACCTCACAATTAGTCCTTGAGTTCATCACTCATGCCAATTCAAGTAATTCCACTGAAAAGAACAAACCCCAGCATTGGAATTATAAGCCAAGACACGATAACCCACTCCTTCACCCCAAAGGCGCACTATCGTCGTCAACTCCTACGCCCTTCAAACTTACCCCGCCAATCACGGCAAACACCACCCCGCAACTCGGAGCCCATCTCCATATCACCTCATCCCTCGTTCGTTACATAAATACAACATCACCATAACCCAAAAAACATGAACTCTCGTTTTGCATTCTCACTCTCTAGAGCTAGAATCACACCTCGCTTCACTACATTTCGCACAATGGCTTCCTCATCTGTTACCGTCCCTCCCGGAAAGTACGAGTTTCTCGTTGTCGTCCATGACAAGCCCAATGTTCGAGAGAAGAGACTCGAGGTTCGAGGGTGAGCTTTGTTCTGACACTGTATTATATGCAGCTTGAGCTAACAGGCCGAAGAACCCACTTCAAGAACATGGTTCCTAACGTTGAGAATGGAAGCTGGAAGATGGGAGGTGTGTATTCTTCATCCAAACAGGCCTAGATGTTGGACCCTGACAAGGAGACTAATGTTGTGTCTAGGTGCCATTCTAAACAGTGTCCCCAAAGATGACAGTGTCGATAGCCTCGACTTTGCTGGCAGTACCCTTGTCTGCATCGCTGAATCCGTAGAAGAGGTCAGAGAGCAACTCAGCAAAGACATCTATGCTACATCAGGCGTCTGGGACATGGACAAGGTAAATAGAACGCGGATCCATTCCAAGGCAATTTGCTAATATGATATACAGGTCCAGATCTACCCCTTCAAGGCCGCCTTCAGAATGAACTAATGCACAAAGCCAATACCATTCCCGTAGAGCCACGATAGTGACCCTTCTCAAAACAGTGAACTGATACTATTCATGCTAGTTATCATGATCCGTTACCATGATGTCCCTGTTGTCCATCCGTCGATTGCTGACCTCGAATCTTTGTGATCATTCGTTCCCTACCGCTTTGCTAACAATACCAGCCCTCAACAACCCCTGCATACCGATGTCATTACCAGCCCGATGAAAGCGAGCCAAAGCTATTACCAAAAACCGTGAGGAAGAGCTATCTGACCTACAAAATTCCAATTCCAATTCAAGTGATAGTAAACGCCATCGTACACTGACATATCCGTGCTGCTTTGGTATGGCCTGCCACCAAAATCATACCTGGTCTAAGCTTCGTTGTCATTCGAGCGACTCTCGGCTGCTTCTTCGGCTGCAACTCTCAGTTCGTAGTTGAGATCAAAGCATTCGGCCAACAGTCCAGTAACACTGCCTTGTCCTTCGGGGATGTCGCCATTAACCACAAACTTGCCGTCAACTTTCATGTTATCTAAGGAGTTAAGCTGTTTCATGTTAGAGATACCCAGGTTATGCCACTATGTATCAACATACCTTCATGCTGTAGGGGTAAAGCTCCCGCACAGAGGATACACCCCCGTTCTTCTTAACCTCAACGAGGCAACGTTTCAGTGTCTGCAGTTGGTTGTAAACAGGCAACAGGGCTTCAGACACTGGTTCGGATGCCAGCATAAACGAGTAGATGTACGCATACGATCTTCGGATCAGATAGAGCAAAGTTCGCTGCGTCCAGAGATCAGCTGGTCGCCCCCGATCGTCCACCCAGTTTCCATTCTGTCGGCT